CTTTGCTCTGGAAACTGTTATTGGGTATGTTAAAGCTGTAATGAAATGCTTTATTTAAAAAAAAAAAAAAGCCAGATGCACTCCTTACGTAAAAGGAATTATTTCCTTTGGGATCTTGTTTGGGTGAACTCCACCCCTTACTTCCTGCTTAGGGGAGGAAAACCTGGTGGAGATATCTAATTACAGCCTTTTACAGTCATTGCAGGCTCTGAAAAATGCTCTGAGCCAGGTACACGGACTAGAGCAGGAGGCTCATGAGCCCAGTCATCCCTCACTGACCACTAAACAGACAGATCTGGAACCTGGTGATTGGAGTTGAGGCCATAGACATCAAGCACCTAACCTTGAACCCAAGTGGACTGGTCTGTATCCAATTATCTTGCTGACCCCAACTGCTGTTAAGGTTGCCGGACGTGCCCACTGGAGTCACCATTCCCAAGTTAGGAGAGCCCATCTGGACCACATTCCTCAAACATGGAAAGTAAAAATAACAGACAATCCTCTGAAGGTCGGACTGGTGAAAACAATCTTAATTCTTATGTTCTCCTTCTGAATAATAAAAACTGTAACTGGGTACAGTGACTGAAATTCCCATGAGCCATCCCTGATAATTGGGTATTTAAAAGAACTTCAGCTGGTAAGCTAACCACTCCCCCAGTTTTCTGTTTGGCCTTTGTGATCTGTTTTCTTTACAAGAGTAACTATTTGTGTCCCGTCTCCTTGACCCTGGGGATATGGAACTCTTAGTTATGAAAAACAACTGCGAAGCTTACAGGCTTATGGATGTCCAGCAGATGGGAGTCCAAAATGTAATTGTGAAAATGAGTGGCATTGTGGAACTTGGGGCTGTGAGACATTCACCTCATGGATTGGATCTAAGGATAGATGGATTTCCTTTCAGCGTGGAACTCCTGGTATAACGGTGGAAAAATTTAACCCCTTAGTTTTAAAGGTATTAAATGGGCATGATAAAAGTTGGCTTGCAGGGAGGACATGGGGAATACAAATGTATGCTTCAGGAAAGGACCCCGGATCAGAATTTACTATCCAAAAGTTCGAGATTCCTATAAGCCCTCCAGTACTTATAGGACCTAACAAAGTCCTTAATCTTCCCTTACCACCAAAGCCACTTCCTACTATGTCAGAGCCACCCCCTATTACATATGCTAATTCCCAGTGTTTCACGATGGGACACCCCCCCCGAATTATATGTTTGCTCTATACATATGAGTTTTTCAACGCTACTGAACCAAGTCTCACAAGAGACTGCTGGTTCTGCTTGGACCCTAGACCTCCTTACTATATAGGAATAGGAGCAATTAAGTCTGTAGGAATAGGTCCCTCTTATATTCAAAATCTGAGTTATAATGAAATACTTAGAAAAGGCCTATGACCTTGGGCTTCTAAATCTATGCTTAATCTTGGTAGTTTATCAGGTAGAGGAATCTGTTTTTATGGTCATACTTATGACTTATCTTTATTTCCCTACAATGAGATGTGTATCAATCTTATGGTCTCACTTCATCTCCAAAAGAATTATATTATTTAGTACCACCAGAGGGAGCTTGGTTTGCTTGCACCACCGGGTTAACTCCTTGTATAAGTCAAAGGTATTTAACTGTTACTGATGGGTTCTGTATTTTGGTTCATCTCATGCTCCAGGTCTGTTATTATTTGGGGACGGAAGGATGGGAGCATTTGATTCCTCCAAATGGTGCCCAGTTTTCTAGGGGAATCGTGGCAGCTGTCCTGGCACTTGCATTAATAGGAGCAGGTATAGTGGGTGCCACAGGAATAGGAACCGCTGCACTCATAAAAGGGGAAGTAAATTTTAAAGCTCTCACCCAGCAAATAAATCTAGATTTAAAGAACATGGAACATCAAATTAAAAATTTGACTTATTCCCTCGATTCATTAGCTGAGGTGGTGTTACAAAATTGCCGAGGGTTAGATCTTGTCTTTATGCAAGGAGGATTATGCATGGCACTGGGTGAAAAATGTTGCTTCTATGCTAACTGTACTGGAGTGATTAGAGATAGTATTAGGTTAGTCCAACAACAAACTAATGCTCGAGAAAGGGACTTCAGTAATCACCAAAACTAGTATGAGTCCATATTTTCCTGGTCACCCTGGCTGACCACCTTGTTAAGTGCTGTTGCTGGGCCTGTGATTCTTATTCTCTTAATTTTTGCTCTTGGGCCTTGTATCTTAAATGCCCTTGTAAAATTTATTAATCAGAGATTCCAGACAATAAAACTCATAATATTAAGAACCCAATATAAACAATTAATACCAGTGCATGAAGGAAGCTGTACCTAATAAGTCAAATAATTAACCTTACAACAGGAGTGGGGAATGAAATGGCTCAGCAAACCTACCTAAGTTACTCCATTTTGTTCAGAGCCATTTCAGCAGCAACTTTGCTCCACACCAAAAGGAAAAGGGGGGCAACCTTGGGCCTTGGAAAATTGTCCTAGCCATGAACCATGGAATGTGCTAATTCCAGACATTATACATCTGACTAACCAGCTTGTTTTCACTTCTGTAATCCGCTTGCTATTTTGGGTCACCTTGACACAGGGCATAAGACCACCCTTGTTATCCTGTTATTGTATGACCACCTAGAAGTCATTTACCTTGACTGTCTTATTATACTTATTATGGCTAAAACAGTTGGCTAGTTTTAAGGTCACAAAGGTGATTGCCAAGTTATATGACTGTGTCACTTGTCTGTATAATGTTTGGTTGTTGATTAATAGAGTCAAAATTCTGCTATGTTGTACAAACCTGATTGGTTCACAAGTGTCCTGTTTTAATAATAATTCTGTAATCCTACAAAAACTCTGACCCGACAGTCATCAGGGCTGCTTCTCCTCCCAAGATAGACAGCCCGGCCAGTCGAAAATTAAAATTTACCTTGCTACTTTTCTTAAAGTGGTGTTGGTGATTTTTTTTTTTTTTTTTTTTTTTTATGAACTCTGTCCTATAACACCAGCCAAGAAGTCCAGCTGGGAATCTTGATTTCAGACCTGACCCTGGATGGACTCTTGTTTGATTCCATACATTTATTCTAGAGAAGCAAACCTATAGGTTTCAGTTCTACTGTTTACAGCATGTATAAAAGCATCATCAGAATGCTGGGGTAAAGCAATTAACAGGGCCATTGGGACATGGAGCAGATGTTGCTGTGGTGACCTATAGGATGCTTGGCCTTATAGTCATCACAATGAAATAAACTGGGTCTGGGTAATAGTAATGGGACTGTTAATCCCTAGTAAAGTGGGAAAAGAAGGTCACAGGGGTGTTAGGGGGTATACTATAGAGGTAGAAGATTATCTGAAAGCAGGGTCCATCATGCAATTTCCATGGTGAGATGGGACTTTTCAGAGTTGCAGCTGTTCATGGGAGGCACTTATGCTCCTGTAAGTAAACCAATAAATTCATTGGTTCACCAAACTGGAATTGGATGGGACTGTTATTCTGGTCTGTCTATTGGTACCCTGAAGTGAATAGGCATTTGTTCACATCTCCAGGAAAGACAGCAGAAGCATTCCCATTCTAAGCAGAGGATTTTAATGTATCTCCTTTGGGGCAGGCAAAGAAGTCACCTTTGACAATGTCCCAAAGGTTGTCTGGCACTTTGGTACAGGATATGGTCCAATCTTGTGCTGGCTTAGAATACAAAAAGGCACATGAAGTTGGGGCACAAACACACCCCTGGGCTGGAGTGGGACAAAAGGTGAACAGGAAGTGTTTTGGGAGATGGGAAGGGTGTGGGCTTGAGTTCTTGTTGACAGAGGTAGTTGGTCCCTGTGGATCCTGGAGTACAGAGGGTAGTTTGAACCCTCAGGCTGGGTAGCAGGTGCTGTGGTGGCCACCATCTGCCCAGTTCACGAGCTCGCTGCTCTGGAACCACAGCTGGATCTCCCTCTGGGCCCCTTCCACAGAGTCACTAGCATGGATGATATTCCTGTGACAAGTGAAAGGGTGAATGAAGCCTGGGCCAAGGAGTCTCAGGGATAATCTGCCACTAGCCTGCAGCCCTCTGTCTAAAGGAACAAGGTGATTATGCACAAGAAAAAGGAATGATGGAGCTGGGTATGGTGCTGCACATGTGTAATCCCAGCACTGGAGAAGCTGAGGCAGGGGAATTGCCTTGAGTTCAAGGCCAGCCTGGGTTACAGAGGGACACTCTGTTTAAAAAAAGGAAGATTGAGCCGGGCGTGGTGGCACACACCTTTAATCCCAGCACTCGGGAGGCAGAGGCAGGCGGATCTCTGTGAGTTCAAGGCCAGCCTGGTCCACATAGTGAGTTCCAGGACAGCTGGGGCTACAGGGAGACCCTGTCTTAGAAAGACCAAAAAAAAAAAAAAAAAAAAAAAAAAAAAAGGAAGATTGGGGCTAGAGATGTAGCTCAGTTGATACAGTGCATGCCTAGCATGCACAAAGCCCTAGATTTAATCCCTAGCACCACAGAAACCAGGTGTGGTGGTACATGCTGGTAGGTCTTCCTTAGGTATATAATGAGTTTGAGGTCAGCCTGGATTATGTAAGACCCTGCCTGAAAAAGATGGAAGGAGGAAGGGAGAAGAGGGAAAAAACAGTAACAGGAGCTAGAAATTTTCATTTGGTCTGGCCTTAGCTTCTTAAAACCTCAGGGACCAGCCCAGACCCCAGAAACTGCCTTTCCCTACCAGTTATCAGAACCTCAGGGTGTCTGGCAGGGTTGTGTACAAAGATAGTGTGTTATGTCTCCTATGTATGTTAAAGAGCCATTGGGGGTTGGGGGAGGTTCTAGATAGGCATGGTGGTTCACTGTAATCTCAACAGTTAGGACGTAGAAGCAGAAGGATCAGGAGTTCAAGGCCTGCCTAAACTATATAATGAGTTCAAGGCCAGCCTGGGCTATAAGACCTTGTCTTAAAAAAAAAAAAATTCAAAGTTCTTCTAGCAAATAACCTACTATCTTTGTCTTCACTTTCAGCACAGCAAGACACCCAGGTCTGCAGGATCTGTCTTTTTGCTTGTTTGTGTTTTGAGATAGGGTCTCATGGTAACCCGAGCTGGCCTAGAACTAGATATGTAGACCAGGGTGGCCTTGAACTCACAGAGATCCACCTGCCTCTGCCTCCTGAGTGCTGGGATTACAGGTGTGGGCCAACATGTTTGCCCAGCAGGATCTGTCTTAAGAGTGGGCTGCCAGGGCTGGAGAGATGGCTCAGCAGTTAAGAACACTGGTTTTTCTTGCAGAAGACCTGGATTCAAATCCCAGCATCCACATGGCAGCTAACAACAGTCCATAACTCCAGTTCCAGGGCATCCGATGGCCTCTTCTGTCCTCTTCCGGCATTGCACGACACGGGTGCACTTACCTACATGCAGGCAATACAGTCATACACATGAAATAAAAATAATAAATAAACAGCTGGGGCTACAGAGACCCTATCTCAAAAAGACCTAAATAAATAAATAAATAAATAAATAAATAATAAATAAATAATTTTTTTTAAAAAAGGGTGGGCTGCCATCCTAAACACTGACCACTCTTCACCCCACTTTGGGAGACCAAGGGTATCAGGGCCCCCATACCTGCTGATGTGAACACTGAAGTCTCCCCTGATGGTCCCGGGGGTTGCTCTGGTTGAGTCAGTGTGTCCTATCATAGCCCTTGAGATATGGACCACATTGTACCCTTCCCAGACCTGCAGCACAGAGGTGAAGGTTGGGGAAAAGTGGGGGAAGGGGAGATTGAGGGAGGAGCACACACCAACAATCCAAGCACTTCCCTTTGCTTAGGGGAAGACACACCCTCACACCCCTTCCACTGCCCTTGCCCTGCTATACCATGGCCACTACAGGCCCAGAGCTCATGTAGCTGATAAGGGCTGGGTAGAATGGTTTCCTCTGTAGGTCCTGGTAGTGCTCAGCAAGGATTCTCTCTGGTGCCTGTGTGGCATTGGGGGGAGGGATGAGAGGAACCATTGGAGAGTGAACCACCAACTGGTGTCCTGACTTTAGGCACCTTGCAAACACCTACATAAGCTAGCTCCCATAATGGTAGCCTCCCTACCCGTGCAACTGCTAGAGCTAGAAGACTCCCCCTAGGGACACCACAGGCCAAGGGCTCCAATACCTGCAGCATCTTCATCCCCACCAGCTTGAAGCCCCGCCTCTCAAAGCGCTGGATCACAGTCCCCACCAGCCTCCGCTGCACCCCATCCGGCTTCACAGCAACCAGGGTCCGCTCCTGGGGCCAGGAGGGCCCTCCTTTAAAAGAGGAGGGGTCAGAGATGCTGCTGCCTCACATTTTCAAGTCTCTCCCACCTGGTTATCCCTGACAGAGCTCAGATCTAGGGCTTCAGGGTGTTCTGGAAGAACAAATACAAATAGGAGCTGCCCTGGCAGTGCCAGAAGCTGCCCAAAATGTAGCTGGCTTCCCCTAAAAAGGCACTTTGAGAGCTCAGAGGCCAGAGAGGCCTGGTGGAGCTCAGTGACTGCCAGACCTGGTGATGCCTCACTGGAAAGAAAGCTTGACTCCAGCCCAACATGACTCCTCTCCTCCAGGGTACACTGTGTGAATTCCAGATGTATCACACTAGGAGAGCCTGGAGTCCATCCTCTGGGTATGGAGGAATGGCAGGAAACTAGGGAGAGTTAGCTCACCACTTCCAGGTGGGCTAAGTGATTGGAGACAAAAGGGTAGGGCTTGGGAAGAAAGGAGGAGGAGGTGATCCACCAGGCCAGACAGGAACTCACCTGCCATGGGGTTAAGGCTGCCTGGAAAGCAAACACTGTCAGGGAGTCTCCAGTTGTCCTCACGTTCCTGCAACCCCAGGCGACTGCCAGGGCAATGAGCATCTCCTCCAAAGTCAAATACTACTTTGGAGAGGGACCTAGTCCCTGGATGCCCCACAAAAGTGTACCAATGGAAGGGGATACACAAATTAGCAGCTAAGCAAGAGGGCTCAGGCTCCATCTCTCAGACCGGAAAATTAACCACAAAGCGCCCCCCC